TATGTGACCAAAGGAGATGGACTGGGATCAGCCATTGAGGCATATGAGCCAAGATGCCAAAAGTAGATCTTGCTTGTTCTTAGAAGAGATTGTGTAATATACTTGGCAGGATTCTAGGTGTTTTCCCAAGTAAAAAATAAAAAATAAAAGGAAATGTAGAAAATTTACTTATCCAAATTTTAGGGAACTCCTCTCAGTGATAAAAATAGAGGTGGAGGCGAGAAGACATGCTTCCGTGGAACACGGGAATGGTCATAGACTTTGAAAGTTCTCAAAAGCAGGATAACTTGGAAAGAGGAGGAAGTCAATAATAGTATCAGCAGGATGGCTGTGAAAGGCTGCACAGTGGGATGACCCGAGGGAACCATTTCTCCTCACGGCTTGTCCCTAGAGGCGAGGAAATGAATGAGCTTTTTTCCAGTGAAGAGTTCAGCTTTCTTTGCCTACTTGGATCTACTGCAGTCATTTGCCAGTGAGAAGGGTTACCCTGTGCATCCAAACAAGATAGAGACTGTACTGTAGCTTTCCTCCTCGCTTATCTGGCCTGTGTATGGATCACTAAGGAAGGCAGTGGACTTTTCTTCCGCGTTCCACTCTTAAGATGTCAAACATACATGGTTCAGGACCCACTTCTGCACGCTTGACAAAGATAGTCCTGGAAGCCTATTATCATTCTCTCCATTGCGCTTACCTCCTGTCTGAGACAGATTTTCGATAAGAAGTAAGATTTACAGATCTCACTTTCCCCACAGCAAGTTCCAAGGTGCACATCTATAATGAAGTAGGACCTAGTCTTATGCATAGCCTACGTTTTAGGAGGGGATGTCACTTAATTTTGTGAATTATTAGACACTTAGCTGACTCAGTAATAAATGTGATAATGCTAATAAGATACTCACTTGATTCTCTGTATGAGTTCTAAGTTGGCTAGAAGTTGGAGAAGATTGGTATCCCATAGCCTCCCACACTTAAAATCACAAGGCTTTAGAAAAGTTGCCAACATTTTGCTTTGAGTTTCCTCAAGATGATAAGGATCAGACTTTGTGCCAGGCACAGGGAAAACCTAAGTGGATGGTAGAAAACCTGGTCTACTAACCAGAGCATGGTATCTTCATATTCTATAATCTGGACCTGTTGACTTACGCTGCCTATTTTAGCCCCATGAATCACAGTAACTTGAGGATTCCCACAACTCCACTCAAATTGCAGGGTTATGGTGTCTTATTTTGGTTGATAATGTCATACTACAAGATCTATTCTTTTCCTTTTGTGGACTGCAAATAGATATTGCTATATAATTTTAAGATTGATCTGGATTTATGTTCATTCAGTTTCTCTATTTCTAAGAAGATTTATTTTTAAAATACACTTCCATACACTGTGTCTTTGATCTCCTATGGCTAATCTCAACCATTAGTTCTTTCTTTCATTAATTAACTCCAAGAGAAGTGACTTGTAGTTGAATATATCAGAGCAATAACTCTTTGCAAAAAAAAAATATTTTCAATTAGGTTTGTGTACATCAGATTTTAATATGAATGGTTCAGAAATTTTGTAGGAATATCATCTATCTCATAATGTTGTCTTCAGGATTAATTCTAGTGAGACAAAGAGTCTGTCTATACGTGATACACTTACATGAGTATGACACACTTTTAAACGTTTTAATCATTTTGAGAGGTGAAAAGACAGACAGTTCATTCCTCAAATGCCCACATAATGTGGGGTTGAGTCAGGGTGAAGTCAGGATTTGGGTACTCAATCCAGTTTCCCATGTTGGTGGTAAGGGTCAAACTAGTTGACTCAGACATCACCTGCCATCCTTCACCTCACCTGCTACCCACCATCATCTGCTGCATTAGCAGGAAGTCGGAACTGGGAGGCAAGCTAGGACTCAACTCAAACACTCTAAACAGTAGGAGATATGGACATCTCAAGTGGGGTCATCACCGTATACCAAATTTCTGCCTAATATTATATATTTTTTTCAAGAAGAGAATATTGGGGTTGGAAGTTTTATTGGCGATCAGACATAAGTTCTTTACAGGAGACACAGGCAACCCATGTTAGAGTGCTGGTTGGAATGCCAGCTGCCACATACTGATCTGCTCCCTGCAAATGCATTTAGGAAAGCAACAGCAGATGGTCTAAGTACTTGGGTCCCCGATGCCCATTTTTGGAGACCAGGATAGAGTTCCTGGATACTCACTGTGACTTGGACCAGATGTGGTCATTTGAGGAGTAAAACAATGGATAGAAGGTATCCTCTCTCTCAGTCTTTTTAATCACTCAATCTTATAAACAAACACACAAGCAAAAAAGCAACACAATAGCCAAACCTAGGTATTTATTTGGCCTCTTTGGGTTTCTAGAAGAATGCTTTCATTTTTAAATATTCATGATAGTTTCCACAGAGCCAAAGTCTTTATCCTTTTTTTTTTTTTTTTTTTTTTTAACAAGAAGCTGTAAAGTAACTAAAAGAGTTTGGAGTTGAAAAAAGTGACTTTCAGTGTCATATGTCAGTAGAGTAGCTGGAATTATGGAACTGACACAAGTATTACTAAATGATTTTTCCCATTGGGATTATAGGATTCTGACAATGATAATTCATGGGTATCTACTCACCAGCTCATCCATGAGTAAATGCTGTTTGTGAAAACTGTGATCTTTAAATTTTCTTCTGTACAACTGAATATTTACAGCATATTCATTATGCAAGAGGAAGGAGGATCCCACTATGCCATCTTCAAAATGATTTAACACCCCCGGGCTCTTTTGTTTTTTCATACTTGATCTAGCAGTTCCATAATGTCAGGGATATTATTATTATTGCCACATATCTCCTCATGATTGAAATAGATTCGATAGGGCCATCCCTATGGCATAAGGAGTTAGGTTGCTTCTTGTAGCACTGATTCAATTCCCAGCTGCTCCACTTCCAATCCAGTTTCCCACCTGCACCCCCGCTACCCAATGCCCCTGCGAAAGCAGTGGGAGATGACCCTAAGTGCATGGGTCCCTGGAGCCATGTGGGAGACCTGGAAGAAGCTCCTGGCTTTGGGGAGCTTCTTTCTCTTTTTCTCCTCCGACCCCTACCTTTTGGTCTTTAAAAAAAGGTTCTACAAGCAAAACCAAGTTCAAGGTTAAGACTGAATTTAACCTAGTGTTTAAAACATCCATGTTCCCTCATCAGGGTACCTGGGCTCAATTCCTGGCTTCAGCTCCTGCGTCTTATCTTTGGATCAATGCAATAAGGGAGTAGCATTGATGGTTAACATGATGCCACGCATATGGGAGACCTGAATTGCATTCCTGGCTCCCGGTTTTGCCCTAGCCCAGCCTCAGTCAGTGCAGGAATCTGAGGAGTGAACCAGCAGATGGGAGCACAACTTTTTTCCTTTCTCTAAAACAAGCCAGAGAAACACACACACACACACACACACACACACACACACACACACACACACACACACCCTGCTTCCTTCTGGAAACCTCTTGGGTAGCCAGCATTTATTTTGAAATATTGAAATAAAAGCTGAGAATATTAAACTGTATAAAAATGTTCAAAATGCATGTTTTTTTCCTGCTGTCTGAATATCATATGCATCCACCCCAGTTTTGTGCTTGGAAATTTTGCCTTGAGTAAGCAGGCGGTGCCTGATTTGCGCCTCGGCTCAGTTCCTTTCCAGCTGCTCATCAGTTTCCTCATCTGGATAAACAGGTATTACTGTGGGAGGTTGAGATAAATTAAGGAAAACACTTGGTATGGTGCTTGATACAGAAACTATTCAGCAAATGCTGAGTATAATCTTGTCCATTTCACTGGCCTGGGGAAGGGTACGGTGTCTCCAATGAGTCATTTCTGGGGTCAGGATTTACTCAGTCCCCTACTCTGTGCCGCTCCGAATTGCTGTTTCCTCATGTCTAAAATGGGGATGGTGTAATACTCAGTTCACTGAGGTTGCTGGCAGCCAGGTGCCCAGTATGTCCTTTTCCTTCCAAGTGACTATCAACAAGTTAACATTTATGAGGTCTATTTCAAGGATACTGCAAAGCACAAGGTGCCACAGGAAGTTTCAAAAGACAATAATTGTATATTCTCCATCATGGGCAAGGAAAGCATCTCACGGAATCAAGCCAACCACGCACAATGAATTGCTGATGATGTATGCAAATTAAAGTGGATCTCTAATCCATGCCCATTTATATATTTTCCCCCCAGTGCGGATGTGGAGGAATTTTCAATGAGGGCTTTCTCCCTGATACTTTCACAAGTCAGCAGATCTCCAACGCTCCATGAACATAGGGGCTGATGAAAGACCCTAGCCAAAGTGGAACAGTCACAAACCGCTCAGCGAGCAGTGCCGTGGAAAGTAGGATGAAACAAAGCTCTGCTTCTCAGCCAAGGGCAGGCAGACAGCTCAGTCTCTTCCGAGGAGGAGGAGAGGGTCGCTGAAGGGCCAGTCAAGTTGTCTGGACCCAGGGTCCCTACCCAACCTCGCCAACCCCCGCGCCATGGAGGATTTTTCCCTCAGCGCCGTGACCGACCCGACGCGTGGGGAACGCGGCAGCCCGGAGAACTCCAGTCCTCACAGAGTTAAACCTCCTCCAAGGAGACTGGAAGAGGGAGGGTCTCCGCCCACGAACACGGAGAGAATCTCGTGCCTGCGCCCCGCCCCCCGCCCGCCCACCTCAGGCCGGACGGCGGGCCGCACCTGCCCGCGCGCGCACACGCCCCCCGCGCCGGGCCTCTCTCAGCCGCCGCCGCCGCCCTCGGCACGCGCCCGCCGCGGCGCGCCCTCCCGCCCGGCCGCACCGCCCGGCCTCGGCGCGGGCCACGACCGCCGCCGCCGCCGCTCCGCCGCGCTCCTCCCGGCTGCGGGCCGCGGAACCGCCGAGCCGGCCCGCGCGGACGCTGAGGCGAGCCCCGGGCGCGGACGCTGAGGCGAGCCCCGGGCCCGGGCGTGAGGGAGCGTGGGCCGCTGTCGCGCCCGCCCGAGAGTCCTCACCGTCCCCCTCCCGCTCCTCCAAAGCACCGCCTCCCCGCCGGGTCCCCCCCACCAGCCCCTCACGCTCCACCCGCGGGGACAAGGCCTCGAGAATTCAGGGGAGTGGCTGGCCGCGGGGGGCGCGTCGCGGCTCCCGGCTCGGCTGCCCCCCCCCCCCCCCTTTGCAAGACACGGTCTGCTCCCCATTGTAGAAGCTGCGCCCCGAAGAGGACTGAGAGAGTGGTGTTCCCGGCGTGGGGCTGCAGGCAGCTCTCCGTGCGGAAGCCCTCGCAGGATTTCGGGGTGGGGCGGGGAGGGCCGAGGATTTTGGGGGAGTGGGGGGTGGGCGGGGAAGAGGACCCGAGGAGGGGAAGGACTCTGTGGAGGGAGTCGCTGAGAGACTATGGGGAAGGACCAGGAGCTGCTGGAAGCTGCTCGCACTGGAAATGTGGCTCTGGTGGAGAAACTCCTCTCTGGCAGGAAAGGAGGGATCCTGGGCGGTGGATCCGGACCCCTGCCCCTGTCTAATCTGCTAAGGTAAGGACGGGCTCCAGGTCCGGGGATGGTATGCTTTGTGATGGAACCGTCCGCCTTCCTCCTCACGGTTCTTGCACCTGCTGGCTGCCAGCGATTCATTCTTAAATTAGATAGGAAAACAGACTGGTGTGTGTGGAGAGGAGGCATGAACCTCCTAGGCGAGCTGGTGCTTCAGGTTCTTTGAGGAATTTGAAAATAGCCTTCCATCAATGCGTCAGTCAGCTACTTTTCTCCGAGCTGTGCTGCAGAACTTGTGCAGGTGCGAGTGATGAAAATTGGCGTTCCACCTGCTTTCTCTTTCTATCTGTTTATTGCAATGTTATTTGCAGCTTCCAATCCCGCCCCCCTCCTCTTTTTTTTTTTTTTTTTGGTCTATTTAAATAAAACGGACAAGGAAGCTATTGCGTGCATACAGTTACCCTGCAACAGCCACAGCCTTGGGTTTGCTGCTCTGGTCTCTTGCAGAAAGCTTTTGCTGTGCTGTGGGTTATGATCCCCCTTTCTCAGATGAAGAGGGTGAACCTCCTGATGAGATGTCATAAGTACATGGTGTGTGTGTGTGTCAAACTTGATGAGGCCGATTACGCAGCCCCAGCACTAGTTGCAGTACTAGGATGGATCCGGCTGAAACTTGGTCATTTTAGCTTAGGATGAAGCGCGCCAGGTCAGGATTGGGGCAGTAAACCCATCGTGGAGGCCTTCCAGTGTGAAAATGCTGCAGGTGAAAGAAATATCACTCCAAGTTTGTTTCAAAGACGACGGTTAAAAAAAGGCAAGGTCTTTATTCCATAGTTGGTACCTTGGGAGTAGCAGAGTTGATCTGCATAATTGAGAAACTTAAAACTTGAATTGATAGGCAAATGAACTCAGCTGGGACGGAGGAAGCCTGGCAAGTATTCATTAGATAAAATTGAAGGAATGCTCTGTTAGTTTGTAAAATCGCGGCTATTCAGTTTGTCCTGGATATTCCTGGAATCATCGTTCATTGTCTCTTGGGCAATCCATCTATTCTTTCTGCAAAAACTTTAAAAAGCTCAGATGAATTTTTTCCCTTGATTTTTGAAAACTTTCATGGGCCTCTTTTGTGGTTAATGCAAACTTCTGACTGATAACATTGTATTCTGTGTAAGTTCTCAAAGGTCTTACTGGTTGGATAGTGCAATTCATTACAATACTGGCTAATGAGAAAATGAGAAGTGCATATTACAGTGAAATGCGTTTAGTTGGTAAATATTTGCTGAGATTTAAAAAAAAGGAAGCCATGTATGTTATACGTATTTGTCGACAGTGACATTGTATTGGAATGACAGTTCATTTCAGAGCAATGAATATTTATGGGACATTTTTCCAATAGGTTTTAGAATGATGACTCGTTTGTGTATTCTCTTGTCGAATATTTTTATTTTCAAACACAGTGTGTGCATATTTCAGTTTACAACTCAACTGAGTGTCTTTAGGCACAGGTTATTTATAGAAAAGCAACTAATATCATTGCATTTTTCAATGACAGGTAAGAGGAATACTTTTACTAATGCATCCATTGGTTATAAAAATAACTGGCGGGCTCGGCACGATAGCGTAGTGGTTAAAGTCCTCGCCTTGCACACCCGGGATCCCATATGCTTGCTGGTTCTAATACCAGCGACCTTGCTTTTCATTCAGCTCCCTGCTTGTGGTCTGGGACAGCAGTTGAGGATGGCCCAAAGCCTTAGGACCTTGCACCGCAAGGGAGACCTGGAATAGCTCCTGGCTCCTGGCTTTGGATTCTCTAAGCTCCAGCTGTTGCTGTCACTTGGGGAGTGAATCAGTGGATGGAAGATCTTCCTCTCTGTCTCTCCTCTTTTGCATATCCGCCTTTCCAATAAAAATAAATAAATCTTAAAAAAAACAACTATGGCAAGAAGCCTATATGCTGAGGGAAGTTTCTCAAATAACCGAATAATGGAATTTTTGGGAAAGTTTTTTGAGAATTTAATTTCAAAGAAGACAGAATTCAAAGGCAAACATCTTTTCAATGATCCTGTTCCAGTGTGTCATAAAAAAAAACAAGGATAGATATCAAATATATTAGTAGGCTACCTGCTATTTGATGCTGACAAACCTAAGCAAAGAATCAACATGGTGGCCCACAGCACTTAATGTTGAAAGACATTAAACGAATTCCAGAATTGTGGCTCACAGTGTACATCTCTTTGCTTGTCAGAGGTAGCAGTAGTAGTTCTACAACAAGAAATGCATGTAAAAGCAAAAAAAAAAAAAAAACAAAAAAAAAACCCCAAAACGGTGAAACTAAAAACATGTGTTCCTTAAAGTAGTTTGTTCCAAGTTGTAAAAATTAGAAAACCATTGACCTTTAAACTTGCTCTCCCACTAACCCAACAACTCAAATGTTGTCATTAAAGGGAATGGCTGTTGCAATTTGGGAGTTGGAATTTTGTTCTTGGGGTTGTCTGTTCATAAAATGAGATTTCTAAAAAGGCACATTTTATTTAGTGGTCACCCTATTCACAAATGATTGTCATTAGAAATCTACTTGCAGGGTAATGGGAAATGTACTCCTCTGTTCACCACTGAACATAATGACACGTGGGCATCTTTCAGGATTTTGGAATGAATTGTGGAAGAAGTCAGGCATGTTTCCCTACTCACACCTGTGTTGTGTGATAGTAGTGTCAGGCCCTGTACTACCTGTTTACAGGTATCATCTCATTCACTTCTTACATTGACCTCAAGAAGTCACTCTTCATATCACAGACGAAGGACTAAAGAGACAGGAAGATTAAGAGCTTTCTCAAGGTCACATAATTAGAAAGGCAAAGATGTGAAATCCTGTGTTTTAAATTTGTCTTACCATGTCTTCAGTGATACTGAATTTATTTTAGTCACAAAAGTTTAAGGCACACAAAATACTGAGATACTCTAATTTGAAGATGTTTACCATGAATAATATACTTTAAAAATCCTAAATTTTGTAATTATTTTTGTTTTACCTAAAATGCATAATTTCTTTCCTTTGAGAATTTATTGGGTAAGAGCTTTCCTGAAGATGTTTTTGATGACATGTTATCACCAAGTGAATAGTAGCATTATAAAGGATGATGTGTCGACAACAAAAGCATGTCCTTGAATAAATGCAAAACCTTTCTAAGCCTCTCTGAAGTACTTAACTATTTTTTATGACCTTACTTATTTAAAAAAGTTTAAAAAATTATTGAAAAGGTATATTTACATAGAGGAGCGACAAAAAAGATCTTCCATCTACTGTTTCACTCCCCACATGGCTGTGACGACTACATTTGAGCCGAAGCCAGGAGGCAGGAATCCTCTCCAGGTCTCCCATGCAGGTGCAGGGTCCTAAGGCTTTGAACCATCCTTTGGTGCTGTCCCAGGCCACAAGCAGGGAGCTGGGTGGGAGGTGGAACAGCTGGGACACGAACTGGTGGTGCCCATATGGGATGCTAGTGCTTGTAGGCAAAGGATTACCTAATTATGTGGTGAGAATTTTGCACCGGCATCGCAGATGATGTACTGTCTTAAGCACTGCACTGACTAGAATTGTTCTGTGGTTTTGGGCAGCTCTACTTTCTTAAAAAAAAGTCTCTTTTTTTGTTGAGCTAAAGTCTAACTGCAATGATTTCCAGAAATTGGTGCTAGGTTGGCTTTCTGACCCAATACAAAGTAGTCTAATTTATCCGCTGTGTGCATTAGCAGGAAGCAGGAGCAGAGGCTGAGGGGCTAGGACTTAGAACTGGCTGGCATCGCAAGCAGCAGCTTAACCCGTGCACCACAGCGTCAGGCTCATGTCAAGAATTTCTGAGCATGTCGTGGTGTTCACTGTCTCTGAGTTAACACTTCCAGGTCCTTTTGTTCCCACTATGGGCCTGTGAAGCCATGTACTTGTGAATGTGTTTGTTGCCCTTAAATTAATCCCCTTACATTTCCTCTAATTTGTTTCAGTTTGTGTTGGTGACCTCCCTAGATTTCTTCAGTTGCTGAGTCTATCTTTAGCATATTAACTTCTCTGCATCATTTGTTACTTTAATAAGCACTTTTTTCTAGAACCAGGGTTTAAAACACCTGACATATTCCCAAAGAACCTATCCTGAGCTTAGTATAAATTTTAAAGTAGCAAACTTTATACGGAGCATTTTCCCAAACATTAAAGCCACTTAATGAAACTGTCAGCTACTTTTCTACTTTATGCCTGTGAAAATATTGTGAGATATTTTATCTGTGACCTTTCTAGATCCATGTTATGTTCTTTTATGCCATTTCTTTGATCTGCTTCTTCAGTAGCAAGTCTGTAAATTCCACCCAAATCAGGCTACTTTATTCTTCTCTCTATCTGGTAATGAACCACTGATAATTCCTCATATTGATGAGAATTCCCTCTGCCTTCTTGTATCTAATTCTTCTAGGAATGGATACTTAACACTTATGTAAATCAGCTATGTGTCTCTTATGATCTCTGGAGCTTCAGTAATCTAACATTATTTATCTTTTCCTGTTTGAAAATGATTCTCACTAGGGAAGGTAGGAACAAAGTAGAATCAGATTCTTGGTATTGTTACATATTGCGGGAAATCCTCCAGTGCTCTGAAACCGTTGCGGTTCTGCTCTGTTAGATCTTGAAGTTACATTAAGAATTGTTTGTTTACCTTCTCCCTTTCCTAAACCTAGCTGGAGACATTTGCCTCTTTTCTGGATGAATATAAGTTTCTCTTTTATGTTTGTTTTCAGTCATACCCCCTCACTACCCTCTATTGTCATTAAAGAAATCAGCTCCTCAAAGCTCATTGGAGTATTCAAATGGAGTTTCCCCTCCTCTTGCTCCAGAGTACATGTGAAATTTAATTTTACTTACATCTTTCATGTAACAGCTGAAAAACCTTTTAAAACCTCTCTTGCCTTGTGACAATTACTTTTTGTCCTAAACAAAAATGATTCAGTCTTAAAATGTATATTATTATTATTGCCTGAGTCTAGACTTAAGGATTGCT